TAATAAAGTCCCATTAAATAAAATGGTCCACTCCTAGTGTAAAGACTTTTTACATGCAGATTGTGCGCATTAGAAGTTGTTTTTATGACCTTTTTTTGATTAAATTTTTGCTGTTTATTTCCTAAAAGATATCTGCAGGTTCCATGTAAGCGAGCGTCTAAGCGAGTCTCCTTCCATAAACAGAAGCTTTTAGTTCTTCCCCAACAACAAGTGTACATTTCCACTATATTTTACGCATTTTTTTGCAACATTTTCTTGAGAATCCCCATTTATATACCATAATTCATCATACACCTCTCCCAATCTTCGAAACTTCGCGTGGCGACTGAATATGTGAAACATTGATTTATTGAAAAAGTCATTTCTACAATCAAAGCAATGTCCTAAACTTATGAAATACCTGCTTGAAGGAAAAAGATCAATAAATAACCCATAAAATATCCCATTGATATATAAATTCTGCACCTTTTTTTGTGTTTTAGATAAATTTAAGGCCTTCCATCTTATGATTGAAAAGTGATAGAAGTCTGAAACTTTTAGTGTAGTTAGGTGTCTTTGACTTCGAATTATACTAAAATTTTCAGAGTTCTATCCCTTTTCAATCACGACGTGCAAGGCGTTAAACTTGCCGAAAACACAAAACAACCTACAGAACTGATGTACCAATCCGAGAGTTGTTTTCATCGTATTTATTTTTTAATTTATCTTGCAGGAGAATCAGGGGCAACAATTTGATCGAAAAAAGATCGCAGAAACAATTTCAAATACACATAAGTGGACATAGAGCATTATGCTGATTCTAAATATAATATTTGTTTGAAGTCAACCGGGGTTGTTCTGTTCGAAAAGCGTCGAATAGGAAACAAAAATGATAGAAATTGGGTTCTATGAGTAATATTTGAGCAAAAGTGCTTTACTAGACATCGATTTTCAAGTTTAAAACAGTTTTATTAGAAAGAACACATATAATTGCATATTTAATAGGAAAATCTTACTGATGCACTTGTATAAAGTATAACTTCAAAAGACTAAACAAACAGTAGCTTTGACAATATGACCCAATCTGGGCGGTATTTGGCATTTATTGTCTAGGAAAAGGTTTGAATGTCTCCAAACTCCTTATAAATTTTGATAGAGAAAAGAATTTTCGTCGAGTAAGTCTATTTTTGTGAACCTAAATTGATTTTTGATGGACGTCTGGATGAAAAACGTTTTTTAGAGCTTTCAAAAAGTGTTATAGACGTTTGTTATTATTCAATTAATTTAAGAAAAAACTGTTAGATTTTTAATCAAACTACTGAGTCCTGCCAAGTTATAGGGACTTCTAATTGAACGGCGACAAAAAGAATAGTTTTTGATGCCTGAGGAGACCCCAGATCAGGGTTGCCAGATTGTCTGAAAAGTCAGGACAGTGTCTGAAATTTGGATGCCTTTCTGATTTCCTTCTGACAGTCTGATTTTTTCTGATTTTAGCACTCTCGTCTGATTTTTTCTGCTTTTCTCCTGAATTCTGAACGTTTCTAAATCATATCACAGCTTTTTTAATGAAATTAAATCTTATCATAATTATTCGTGTGAACAATTTTATAAATATCTTTTAACTCAAACACATTTGTTAAAGCAAATTCGAAAAAATGGAAAATATGAACAATAATATCGAATCTATGTTACATAATCATCAGTTTTTTCTTTCATAGGATCTTATAACTTATATCGTATATATGTGATTTGTTTTTGTACTTTTTTTGTGAACGAATTTTGAGTTTAGCGAAAGAGTTCGGCACTACGTGTCGTCATTAGTTTTTCCTTGTTAGCTAAACAGTATATTCATTGTATTATGCTTTCTTATAGCGAAATATGTTTGAAAATAAAGTATGAATTAATGAACAGCGATTCAATAGAGTATCTGGTACCAACATGATACCATAAGAACCACTAGGTTTTTCAAAAACTGACTTTTCTGATGATTTTCTGATTTTGAAAAAAAAATTCTGATTTTTGAGTTTTCGATCTGGCAACCCTGGTCCACCCTTACCTTTGATCCTTGACCTTTGACCTTTGACTCGATAGCAGACAAATGCTGGATATATGTGTTTCGCTCGGAATGGATTGGAATGGATCAGAATGGATTGGAATGGATTGGAATAGCTAGGAATGGATCGGAATGGATTGGAATGACTGGGAATGGCTCGGAATGCCCGAATGAGATGTTTCCCCTTGCCCACACACCCACACCCAACACCCACATCCACACCCACACCCACACCCACACCCACACCCCACACCCACACTAGAGACCTGCATCGAACTTCGAAACCCGACTCCGACGGAGTCGGAGTCGATGCAATTTATAGAAACTCCGAAAACGCTATTGCATTCTTTTTTGTGCAGCATTTTTTTTAAAATCGTAGCTTTTTGTTAACAAGAACTTTTAATCCAATAGCTAAGTAACATCAATTATGAAAATATAAAAAAAAGAAAAAAACAAAAGACATCCACACCAGATTATCTCTTAGAACTGATGATTGCGAAAAAAAGATCAGTACCATTCAATAGCTCCACTTTCGTCATTAGATATATTTTCATCTTCTTCACGTGCTTTTTTAACTACTATTTTACTTTAATGTCCTGACACAAGTGAAACTGGATCAAAATTTGATCCTTTCGTTGATGTCTTTTTGGACTGATGAAAGTTTTTCAATAAAACAAAGTTTTTTAAAAGAAACATTAGCTGATTAAGCTTTTCATCATCAAAATTTGTTCTACACTCGCCGACACTTTGTTTTCGATGATGAGAAAAGATCTTCAATCATGGTGTTTGTAGCCGATATAGCAAAGATTTTCCCAGCAATTAAAGATAAAGTTGAAAATAAACTCTGTAGTTTATGCGAAAAATCCAAAACGTCAATATCTTCTTCATCATCATTATTAGCAAAGTGGAAATCTTGATTTAAATAGAAAAAAGATTTCGGAGTTTTTTCGGAGTCGGAGTCGGAGTTATTTAAAAAAAAATTTCGGAGTCGGAGTCGGAATCGGAGTTGAAAAAAACTTCAAAAACGGAGTCAGAGTCGGAAGCTTAAAAAGTTTTCGGAGTCGGAGTCGGAGTCGGAGTCAAAAATACGTGACTCCGCAGGTCGCTAACCCACACCCCACACCCACACCCACCCCACACCCACACCCCGCACCCACACCCGCACCCACACACCCACACCCAAGATTTCAAAGAAAATGAGATGGAAGTCAACAGAGGAATACGTCGTATTCTAGACAGTCGACCTTATACTAATCGAACAGAAACATATCAAAAAGGAGATCTGTATTTCATGTGTAGAAAATTCCACTGTCGACATGATACGTTTTGATGATGTTCCTCTTTCGATACCACTTTTTGTCGAACGAAAAGACATTGTGACAAATAAAATGATCGATCAAGCAAAACAACTCGCATGAGTACTTACTAATCTTGTCAATCATGTCTTCAAACTTTCCATTAAATCAATACATATGTTTCGAGATATCAACGGAAGTAAGCGTACATATCTATATATCTTATCTATATTGCTCGCTCTTTGTTCCACAGATCGTAGAGCATTCAATTACGGAAGAGCACTTTTCTTCAATCTTCGTTATTTCGAGCAAGTTTTTGCCGATGATCTTAACGCTTACCTTCAAATGTCTAGTTCGTCGAGTGTTATTGTATCTACAATTGTCAATTTCTATTTCATAGTCACATGCCATGAACTAACGCACAACATTTATCTGGAACATGATTTAAGGTTTATTGATACTCTATAAAAACTTATCGTCAAATTTATGATGCAACAGGAATTGTTTCTTGCCCAATTCTCGTTCGATAACTATCCGCTATAGACTTCTACGGAAATATTTTGATACGAATTTGATTTATTTACAGTGCATCTCAATTAATCTACTCCTTTATTTTTTTATTGTTGTTATGACTAGATCTCTTTTATTTTTGAATCTCATCTACTTAAGAAGAAAGCTCTGAAAGTGCTGAATCTTGTTATATATTTACATTGAACAACAAATGCAGTTTGCGGGTATGACAAATGTACTAGAAAAATAAGTGATTTTTTTTCTTTAATAAAATATAAATCCACATCGATTATTTGTTTCAAAACAAAAGAAGATAGAAACCTACGATTTGCATCATTCGAAAGAAGAGATAAAATTAAATCGATCTTACACTTTAGGTGTTTCTGAAAAGCTTTACTAGTGTCTTCAGCCATGTTCTTCGAAAAATCGACTTTTTTTTTAGAGAGAACAAAGTGAATTTTAGTATCAAAATATACGAAAGCAGTGAGTTTTTCGAAGAACATGGCTAAAGACAGTAGTAAAGCTTTTCAGAAACACCTGAAGTTTAAGAATCGATTCAACTTTATCTCTTCTTTCGAATGGTGAAAATCGTAGGTCTCTATCTTCTTTAGTTTTGAAATAAATAACAGATGTGAATTTATATTTTATTAAAGAAAAAAAATCACTTATTTTTCTAGTACATTTGCCATACTTCAAACTGCATTTGTTGTTCAAAGTAAATATATAACAAGATTCAGCACGTTCAGAGCTTTCTTCTTAAGTATATGAGATTCAAAAATAAAAGAAATCTAGCCATAAAAACAATTAAAGAACTTAAGTGGAAGATCAATTGAGGTGTACTGTAGTTCAATTAATGAATTCCAAACTCTTTTTTTTCAAAATATATATATGAAAGAGTATAATCGTTTTATTCAAATGCACATAAACATCTCCATTCAATCGTTGAATTGAACTTCACTGCAATCATATAGAAATATACATATAGAAATACGATGCTGTACAGAGTAATCATATTATCGCAAACACGCCTAGTCTAATAAATAAGCATTGTCTTCTATATTTTTTTTAGTCTCATTAGCATCATAATGCATAAAAAAAAAACAGTTTATATTCGTTATTGTTTAAATAATGTTGATGTTGTTAAATTTGTTTCATGATTTTGATTATTGTTCGATACCTAATGTCGGTGTTTTTAATTCATCTGATTCAATGAGTTCATCAATCGTAGTTTTTCTAAGTAATGCTTCTTGATTTTTTCGTTCATTACGATGTCGTTCAACATTAGTTCGAAAACTTTTTAAACCTAGTCGACTTAAATAAATTTCACGTTGACGCTGTGCTGTTGTTGTTATGGGATGATAATCTTTTGGACGATCTTTTTTTATAATAATTGGTGAATTCGTTTCCGTACTTGCTACTGGTATATCAAGTGTACCAAGGAAATATTTTGTAAGACCATCAAGTATATCAACACAATGCATACGATCATGTTCACATATTGGTAAATCCATAGCAACAAGTACTAATTGATTTGGTTTAGGTACACGTAATGGTGGTTCAAGATTATCAACAAAATCTGATAATTGATCATATCGCATAAACTGTGAACCCGATGGATCTAAACGTTGCCATTTTTCATAATACATATCATAATCATCATCGGTTAAACCCTAAATAAATAAAAACAATTTAAAAAAAAACACTTTTTTGTTTTTCATTTGTTTACTTGTTCCACATCTTCGTGTGCTTGAGAAAAATTTTCTAATATTACTGCAATATACATATTTACCTAAATGATAATAAAAAATCAGAAAATCTCAAGATAAAAATTTTAAAAATACTTACCACAACAAGAGAAGTAATTATTACATAACTCACAAGAAATGGTGTTGCAATCATCGTATCACCACAATCACCTTTATGTGATGGTGTATTTATAGTTGGGTCACAATCTGGTGGTTGATCATTTGTTAATGCTTGAAAAACACCAGACCAACCAGCAGTTGTACACATTTGAAAAAGTACAATTATTGAATTAGGAAATGTTTCAAAATTAAATAAATCTGTTATACCAGCTGATTTTCTTACATAAGCAAAGAATGACATACCAAATATTGAATAAATAAACATGACAAGAAAAAGAAGAAGACCAATATTAAATAAAGCAGGTAATGAAACAGCTAATGCAAAAAGTAATGTTCGAATACCTTTCGCTCCTTTATGAAAATATAAAAAAATTTAAAAAGTCTACGATTTATTCATTCCTATCATATCAAACCTTTCACAAGACGTAATATTCTCCCAACACGTGCAACACGAACAACACGCAATAGAGTTGGATTTACAAAATATTTTGCCATAATTTCTCCTAGTGTTTGTCCTAGAGAAAAAAAACAACATTTTTAATAAAAATGAATTAGAAAGCAGCAGCATACCAAGAATTGATGCAATTACAATGACAAAATCAAATATATTCCATGGTATAGTAAAATATTTGAAATTTAATGCAATTAATTTCATAATACATTCAATAGTAAATCTAAATTAGTATCAATATATAACAGAGACAATAACCGATTTCGCGAATTTTAAAGATTACAACTTTTGGTTTCATTCAGATTTTAGTTGTATTTAATCAATAATTTTTGTTTTTCACCATAGAATCGAAGTATAGATAATCTACGGTATATCATCATTAGTCGAGTGATAATATCATATGAAAAATTTCAATAGAATCTATGCACCTGTATTTTTAGATGAGATGATCAACACAAATGATCATACAAACACCTTCGATCAATGACATTAGCGAATGCTACTATGTGTAAATAACTAGGGAAACTACTTCACTTGAATAATTTGTTTCTTTTTCTTCAAAATCTCATTACTTTTGTTATGTTCAAAGTATTTCTCTGTCATTATCCTACATGTACTCTACATTTCAGTTTTTAATCACACATTAGTTCTTTCTTTAAAATAAAATGATCATTATCTCCGTGAACGTATATAAAGGAATAGGATCATCTATGGAGAAATATGAAACAAGAAAGTTTTACACTTTCATAGGTCAATAATTATCCGTATTGTATTCAATTAGACAAAAGCGAATGAAACTAATTGGTGCATCCTAATTTATAACTTAACTGGTCTAGCATAGATTCTGAAAAATTTTGAAAAAGAGTCGCCTCATGAATTGCATTATTGACGAAGCAAAGTGAGATAGGACTTTAAAGAATCAGTGGTGTCCAAAGATATTACATTATACCACAAAATGTAGAGTAACGTGTTCTCTACAGATATTCCCAGTCGAATCTGGTTGAAAATATTCTTTTTAAATATAATTTAAATCAGCAACATATAATGAACAAATCTATGTATTATGAATTTTTTCTGACTAATTGTTCTACTTGTGATACTAGCTAGAATGACTTGAACCTCTACCATGAGTAAAGTAAATTTATTTATTCAATTTAGCAGAAACTAAACTTAATCATGTATATGACATTTAATATTTTGTAACTCGAGAGGACACTTTTGCTGAATAATATTAACTAAGAGTATAATAAAATCGTTTACTTCAACATTTTATGTAAGAGAATTATAGTTCAAATTGATAAACACTCATACTCCTAACGGATTCCGAACTTATAATTGATTATTTGCTTACATTGCAACGAAACAATGATTAATATATCCAAGAATACGATCATAAGTATCACTTTGATCATAATGTTCAAGACACATACAAAGCATATTAAGAAAAATACATATCATTATAAATATATCAAATTTTTGACTTGTTGTTAAATCAAAAAGAAATCTTGCAAGAGCAAACTAAAACAAATCGAAAATGAATATATATATATACATTCATCTGTTTGAAAAATTTACTCTTGGTCTTGGTAATGCTTTAGTTGGCTTTTTATTACCCATTTTTTTCATAGCATTATAATATTTTTTTTGATCTTCTGTCATAAACATATCTATTGAACCATCAGTTCCTAACTAAAATTTCAAGAAAAAAAAAAACGACATTTCATTATTTTTTTCTCATCTTATTAAATTAATAAAACTTAATTTTCGTTTTTGTTGATTAAAATTATCAATAACAACACCAATAAATAAATTGAGAGTAAAAAATGAACCAAATATAATAAATAAAACAAAATAAATAAGAATATAAATATTAGTCTCATATTCTGGTTGAACGTCTAACTAAAAAATCGTATTATAAAAACAAAAATATAAGACATCGAAATAAAAAAACAAATAGAAATAACTGTATACTTCTTTAGCATCAGTTGCATCAGCCATTATTTCAACCCAACCTTTGAAAGTTGCCTATTTGAATAAAACAAATAAACTTAATTATTGTCAGAATAACCATGTAAGTATATTCGCAAGTTAAATTATTAACAAGATGGTTTACGCAATTATTGTAGGAGACGAATGAAATACATTTCTTCATCATTCTTTTATATAATCCTTCAGAAATGTCATAAGGAAGTAGTTCACTATACTCTAACGAATAGGCAACTGCGGGTTTTGGTTCAAATCCACAAAAAATACAAAATTGCTTATAATATTTATTTTCTATTTCGTAACTCAATAGGTTTATTAATTTTTCTAGTTGAAAATATCTTTTTTTTTTTTAATTTATTAAATCAAACTTAATAACTTACAACTTGAAATAAAGCCAAATAACCACTCAGAACATTATCAAAATTAATTCGTGAATTTTCCCATGTATAATTTTTATTTAAACAATCAATTTTATTCGTTACATTTTCTGATATATTAACACGATCATGTGTATCAACATAAACACATTTATAAAATTTTCCACCAAATAATTGTACACCCATTATTGAAAATATTAACCAAAATACAAGACAAACAAGTAAAACATTAAATATTGATGGTATAGCACCAAATAATGCATTAACAACAACCTATTTTGAAAAACATAAAACATAGATAATTAAATAAATTATTTATCATACACGAATTCCTTCAAATCTTGATAATGCTTTTAATGGACGTAAAGCTCTTAATGTTCTCATTGATTTAAATGCTGGAATATCAGCTACACCAAATATATCAAGAGCAGTTCCAAGAACACTAACAACTACAATAACGAAATCTAACCAATTCCAACCATTTGTAAAATAATTTTTTATTCCATATGCAAACCATTTTAATATTAATTCCATTGTAAAAATAACTGTAAACATCTTATCAAATACAGCTAAAATTTCAGAAAAAGTTGGTTGTTGTCGTGTATTAACATCTTCTAAAGCCTTTGTAAAACAAAAAATGAAAGAGAAATTCTTTTCAAATTCTTGTTTTCATCTGTGAACAACTTACTAAAGTTGTACTACTAGCTAATATACTAATAATAATAATCCATTCAAAAGATTGATGTTCAACAAATCGATGAGCTAGACTACGAACATATGTCCAACGTTCTTGAATCATTTTTGGAATACATTTAGTACAACAAGAAAAATGTTTTGATATAATGTTAGGACAACAATCTGGTGGTATATGAAGCGTTTGCCATGTTGGAGGTGAAGTTATAGAATTATTATTCATTGGTTGCATTTCAATTTCTTCATATTTTGTTACTAAATCATCATTTAAAAGTACTGAAGTATTAGATTCTTCTAATGTATATGATGTTGGTAAAGGAAGATAACTGACTGATTCTTGTCCAGCAGATATTGACTAAAAAGCAAGAAAGAAATCAAATTCAATCGAATAATAAATAAATAAATAAATGAACAAACTTGATTATCAGATGCAAATTCATTGATCTCATTTTCGATAAAACTCTTTCTTTGTTGTTGTTGTTGTTGTTTTTTCCGACAAAAACAACCAAGAATAAATTCAATTAGAAAATGAACAAATCGTTGAATACGTTCAATTGCTTCACCAATTTTATTTTCATCATCATCTTTTTCAGTTAAAACATTTGAACCAAATGATGCAAGTAACAAAGCCAAAAATAAATTTAATATCTATCAATAGAGAAAAATTCGAACATATCCTATAAGTATTTTACTACACATTTTCTCTCATAGAGTTGATTTCTAAGTATACACTACGTACCACAAGATTACCAACGATAAATGTTAATAGAAAAAATGGTATACATGGCCATCCAACACATTCAAGACATACCCACATTGATTCAATCCATTCACCACATAAGACACGAAAAACAATCCTTTAAAAACAAAAAAAGAAAAGTTAATTTTTTCTGTTTATTTAAACATATGAAATAAACTTACATAAATGAATGAAAAAAATCAAAAAAATTCCATCTTGGCATATCTTTACCGAATTTTTCTGCATATTTGTGACCAAATAACTATAAATCACTAAGAATAAATTCATTCAAAACTTTTATTCTAATTTACCTGCATTCCCATAACAGCAAAAATAAATATTATAATAGCAAGAACTAATGTTAAATTTCCTAGAGCTCCTATTGATTTACCAATAATTGACATAAGACGATTTAATGTTTGCCAAGATTTTGCCAATTTAAATACACGTAACTTAACATAACGTATGTAGAAAAAAAAAAGAAAAAACAAAAATTCTATTAAAATTACTTACTAATCGAAATGAACGTAAAACACTTAAACCTTTTACACCAGCAAGACCTAATTCAATAACACTAACTGTAACAATTACTAAATCAAATACATTCCATCCATTTTTTAAAAATTTAGCTGGTGTCAATGCAATTATTTTTAATATAGATTCAGCTGCAAATATACTTGTAAAAACATAATTGCCTGCTGTTAATATTCGTGTCATTTTTTCACTTTGACCAGGTTGATCAAGTGCCATGAATAATGTATTCAATATAATACATATTGTAATAAATAAATCAACAAATGCATCCAATATAAAAAAAGCAACAGCACTCTATTTAAAAAAAAACCAGATAGGGACTATGTGAATCATGTAGATTCTAATAAGCGATGAATATCCTCAAAAAAAAAAGCTGAGTTCTAGGATTATTGCTGCAGAAATATGGTGTTTTTACGATATTTTTTAACTGAACGTCGTGCTCTCAATCAGAAGTATTACGGAAACTAATTTTTGAATTTCGACTTGAAAACTTGGCATAGAGACATACCTTCATCAGAGCGGTTTATTGTGAAAGTTTTAGATCTTTTGATTGGCTTCTGTATTGAAAGCAGAATATTGAATCTGTCGGTTTATGTGGATGTTGCTAAAGACATGCTTTCATCATAGGCGTATCTCATGGCAAGAGCAACGAAAAGATCCGAAACTCTCACTTGATAAGGTATGTCTCTATGCAAAGTTTCAAGTCAAAATCCGAAAATAAATTTTTCTGATGCTTCTGATAGAATCACAATATTGAAGTAAAAAAATTCTGTAAAAATGCAATATTTCCGCAATAATAAGCCTAGATCCCGAATTCTTCACTATATTTATCGTCAATTAGCGTTTACATGATGCACATAATCCGAAATCAAGAGCGATTAATCAGATGGAGGGTTTCTCTTGTGAGACGTAAACGTCTCGAATGAATATTTGATAAAAAACTTGTTATGCTGCTACATATAAATCAATCTACGATTACTTCGTACTCTTATAGACAAAACTATTTATTTATTGTTGTGTACTTTTAATCTAAATCATCAGGGTAAGACACTTTATATGTTTTTATGCTTAAGAGCTGCGACATTATAATTTAATAAAACATACTTGAATTTTTCGAAATATTGGTGATTCACAACTCCATTCCCAACAATAAATTCGTAGGAATTTAACTAATACTTGAGTACATTTATTGGTTGTATCCATATCTGAAATGACGATGTTCACACATCTTTTATAATCATACTGTAATTACTGTTCATACGCATACAAAGTTAGTGTTGAAGATCACAATCAACAAATGAACTGTGCTAGATAATTAATCAAACGAAAAACGGGCATGTATAAAATTAGTACAAACATGCATAAACAATAAATAATAAAAAAATCATACGTGTGTTTTTTGATGTTGATGTAAAGAGTGAGGATTGAAAGTGAAAGGAGAAAAAAAGAAAAATCTTGTTAAACAAGACGTGAAAAAATAAATTGATGAAAATTTTAGAGGATATATTACAATACGACTCACTTTTGGATCGAACACTGGTTCTATCCGATTCTTGAGTAGGTAATATGTCACTAATTGGAGCATATTTTATATGAGGTTTGTCTTGATAAAGCTTTGAAAGAAATTTATAAAACAAAAAAAAGAACAAGAGGATAAAAATTTATTTTCTTTTTACTATAATAGTTGAATCATTATCATTTTCATTTCGTTCTGATAAATCAGAAAAACCACTCATTCGTTGACTTTCTCTATCCTCATTTATTGAACTATTTTGCTGTATTTCATCAAATAATGGTACTATTGCTCCATCAATTATTGTTGCATTAGACAAAATTAAATTTGACTTATTAAATTGAACCATTGATGATGATGCTTGCGATGATCGTCTGTTATTTAATTCAGTTTTCTAAAAATTTTATTTTATTTTAAAAAATAAAAAGTTTATAATTATTTACTTTTCCATGTTGTTCATATCCCATGGAACCATCAGTATATGAAGTTTTACGATTTGAATCTTCGAAACCAAGTGCATTATCATCATATTGTTCATTATTAACATGTAGAAGTGCCTGTGCTTCAGATGCTTCTCGTGCTTCTTCATTTTGTATTGCAAGTTCATCTTGAATTTTACGTCTTTCACGTTCTTCGCTTTCAGCTTCAACTTCTTTTTGTTGTTGTTGATAAGACATGGCGACAATAGCTAAGATTAAATTAACCAAATAAAATGAACCAAAAAATATAACTGCAACAAAATATAGAAAATGAAAACGACCAGCTGCTGACAATACCTAGATTAAAACAGAATAATAATTTATAGAATTCGTTTTTTTTTCTTTTACTAATTGATAAAGATTTTCCCAATAATCTTGTGTCATCAATCGAAAACATGCAAGCATAGCCCAACCATAATTATCAAAACTGTAAGAACAGAAATTTACATGAAAACAAGAGAAAATAAAATCTACCTCGTATATCCAAAATCAGGACTACAAAACAACAAAAATTTGTTAAATTAACGATTAAAAACAAACTTACTTCTGGCCTCGATTTCTCCAACAAACATAACCTGAAGGACATTTCGTACTTCCACTTGCATTACCACAAAGAAGAAAATTATCATTTTCCTTATACCAATAAGCTGTAAAAGTAAAGATTGAAAATAAAATTATTAAAATATGATCTATTACGAATGGCATTCTTAAAATTTTGTATATTTATTAGGAGACTTTCTACATAAAGACACATATGAAACGAATACATCACTTGTAAAATTATTTTTTGTATTAAAGAAGTTTTTCAATTGGACTTTCTCTGAGTCATATAATATCTCAACATTTAACAGTCGAGTTTTTCATGATTTTCTTTATGCATGTTCAGAACTAACGAAACCGAAATCTGGATTTATTTCTTTGGATATCTTTCATGGAAAAAAAATGAAATAATGATGTTGACTCACTTCTCGAAAATAATTAACAAAAAAAAAGTTGACGAGGGACATAATTGGTAGTATGTCTTTTCGAGAATCTTACTCCTTTAATAAAAAATATACAGTCAAAAATGCTAAAGATAATCGTAGATATAAAGTTTTAACTTCTCGTTTCATTTAGACTCATATTAGACATACATCATTTTCACATTCATTCATCGATTAATTAATATTCAAACTTATTGAAATCATCTTTTGAATTATGCACTTTTTAAAGTTATCTCAACTTATTCTACGAATATTAATCTTGATCATGATGTATTTTAATGCATTCAACGTCAATTTTCTGATGTAATAAATAATCATTAACAAATCAAATGTGAACTCGGATATTTTTCTACGAATAGATTATGAGAAAAATTTGTTCGTTTGATCATAATAAATGATTTTTTCTAGCCTACTTTCATTGCCGATTTCATTCAAATAGGCTTCATATGTCATATTAAATTCAGTACTAGAAAGATTGGAATTATTTAAAAATAATTCATAAGTTGGTACACATTTTTGTCGAAGAACACCCATATAAAGTTGTAATCCAATCTATAATTTAAATAATAATTTATTCAATATATATATATATTTATGTAAATCTCATACTAAAGCAAATATAGAAAGAATAAAACTTGATAAAACAGATACATCTCGTAGAGAAATAAAAGATTGTATTAAAGCTCCAACAATTGTTTTCAAACCTAGAGCAATAAATTAATGAATAATCTATAAATATAAAACAATATACCAGGTACAACTGCAACAGTTTTTAATGCTCTTAATACACGAAATGTTCGTAGTACTGCAACATTTCCCAAATCAATAAAAAATGTTATATATCTAAAAATAATTGAACAAAGAAATTCAAAAACTAAAATATTTTCTTATCTTTTTAATACATACGCAAGTACAATTACAATAAAATCTAACCAATTCCATGGATCACGTAAAAATGTATATTTTTGTAGAATAAATCCTCGTGCAACACATTTAATTAATGCTTCAAGAGTATAAATTGCTGTAAAAATATATCTATTTATTGCAAAAATATGTTATATTATTAAAAAGAAAACAAAAGAAAAAAGTATATATTACTTACTCATTTATTTCTGGGGCATTTTTAAGTGTCATAAATACACAATTAGTTAAAATAGTAAGCATAACTAAGGTACTAAACAGTGAATGTGTTAATATAAGTATGGCTAAACGTCGAAAACAATTAAATGGAGAAAATATAAAACAAGCTGATGTTGCACTAAATCGAAATATGGTTTTATTTCGATTAATAACCACAAATGTCTATGATTTTCAAATGTAAAAAAGCATCTTTTTTTTATATAATGAAATTATCAATAATTATACATACATAGTCTGTGCGATAGTACGCATCAATTTCTTCAATTGGTTTTCCGATAAGTTCAGGTGGGAATCTATGTTGTAAAATTCGTGGTAATGTTTCTCCAACGGCCAATTCTTTATTAGGCATTCGTTTAGGTTCTATTGGTTCATCTTTTGAAGACTTAGTCATACGACGACGTTTATCATTATTATCTCCACATATAGTTTGTTGTTCTAATTGTTCAGAAGCAATACGTTCAGCTTCTTCTTGTCGATAACGTTCAATACGTCGAAATGATTCATGTGTAAACTCGCGAAAGACAATCGAACTGTAATCCATTCTGATTATCAACACTTATATCTGTTCATAAATATTTTATGAGAAAATAAAAGAATAAAATATTGTTCTTCGGCTTTGACATTAACAAGGAACATTGCTGAAAAAACAACAAGCCCTTTCCGAGAGAACTTCACAATATGGCTAAGTCTCAAACAAAAATCATACGTTACTTATAAGACTCTTTTTTTTCTTAGCGTCTTTTTCTATAAGTTAATTCAAATGTCTGAAACTATAATACATGTCGAACTTGAATATTGAAGTTAATTACTCAAAATCCCTAAAAAAATTTGTCCGTATACCTAACCTTATATGACTGCGTTGCAGCATGAGGTCGCTACGCACTTCTCGAAGAGTCGCAATCCATACTCTTCTTTGTGTACACAAGAAAGTCTATCCTTTTTCTCATGTTTTAACACTACTAGAAAGGATGTACAGATTCAGACGTATAGAATAGAACGTACAAAAGAACGTATACAATAGAGATGTACAAAAGGATATATACAATAGAATGTACAGAAAGGGCATTTATAAGAAGCATCGAAAGGAACTATAGAAAAAAACATAAATCTAAGCAAAACAAGAAGCTTTGGATATGTTTTTGATTATTTCCGACTGAAATGATAAATTGGATGGGCTCTAACAATTATATTCATATAAGGAATATTCTAACTTTAAACCTCAAATTTTTGATTATTTTCTCGCCTAATGTTGCTTAGATTACAATCTATTAAATTCCAAAAGTTGATTAAAATCGATTCAAATTCAATAATCGTATGAAATTGATGAAAGTCATATTTTTTGCATATGTTACGAACTTACTGTGGAATTTTCTTTTTTCGAGTTATCTCATTTGATCTTTTCTTGATTCAAAGATTTATGCAATAAAGATCAAGCATATACATAGGAGAACAACTAAAGAAAAAACAAAATTCGATTGACTTGAGCATGTCGCTAGTTTAGTTCATCCACAAGCATTTATTGATCTTGTGTCAACATGTAAACATTTTGTCAGCATATTGTTACTATTAATCTCTTTGTCTATTCATCTTGAAAAACTTTGTTTTTATTCAACCAAATATCTTTATCTTGTTCTCCTGTTTCACAAATGAAGTTCGTTTAAATTTACACAATGAAAAAATGTTAATGATGCTCCATAATCTGAATCAGAATAAAAAAAAATCAAACTGTCTTCGTGAAAAACTTTTGCTAAATGAACGATTCTTGGGGTGGATCGAAGCTTTCTTCATTTTGAGCGCACAACATTTATTATGAAGCAAAAAAAAACTCTTCACATAAATCATTGAATATAGCTGACATTTAGTCAATTGATCTTATTGAATGGAAAAACAAAAAAATAGGTCTGCTATGTATTTATGAGTAGAGAGTATGTATATGCATTTATCTTAACTAATCGATTTGTCTGAAAGTAATAGAAGAAAATATACATTATTCATGCAATAACATTTTTCTTTTCTTTTCTTTTTGTGTATATATATTGTTAGATAGACTTATCTCAAGATAATCAATAGACCGAAATGAATGTTGTTTTCTGGTAGTGTCAATCATTCTATGTTGATTCATAAATTTGAGAGAGATTATCAAACAGTCTCGTTTCTTAGATTTAAAATATCATCAAATAAAAATGAAAATTGAAATTAGTAAACAAAAATGGATTGAATGTCAAACAGATGCTTTTGAGATAATTCTTTCATAGTCTTTTTTTTTATTATAAATATAAGGTATCAAAGAATTATAGGCTCTAGTTATGTATACAGACGAAAATGCTTATTTTAGTAATAGAAGTAGCATTTGTTAATTTTTCTGTCTGTTATTTTTTTAAACTTTATTACTGTCTAATTTGTTAACCTTTTCATGAAACAAATAGAATAGTTAATGCCAAAAATGCATGTTTATTTTATTTCCATTACGAATGATAATGATTTACTAATAGTATGTGTACATATAGTAGTACCCAATTAATATCTGTTTCCATTACTTTTTCATTTCATTTCTTGTTATTTGAAGAAAAAATCTAGATCAAAACTGAAAAATAACTAACATAAGTATAGGCACCCATTTCGAAAAAAAGAGTTTTATTTAATTTTACCATTTATTATAATATTTACTACCTTTTCACTGTATCTGAAATCTAGTTGCAGTTATTTTAGTTTCAAAATCTCAAGATATAATGTATTCACTTGATGTTGACCCTTTTTTGAGTCAAGTTTTATTGTAAAATTAATTTTTTTTCTGAGTTAGATCCGTTCAAAACTTACAATGGTAGATGGCATCTCTTAAAATAATCTATGAGAGTCAAAATTGAAAATGATTTCATTTGACAATACCAGTAAATTCCTTGATTTTTGTTCGGAGCTTTGTACAATACTGTATATTGACACTCTAGAATGTGCGATGACATGAGCGTGTCCAAAGCAATCATGACAAGGTCCGACCTTGCATACGGATCTCGTTAAACGATTATTTTTGACTTCATAACTATTCGACTGACCTGAAGATCACAAATAAGTTAAATTAAGTCAAGATAATCGAAAGTTCTCTTTGTCAAAGTTCAGATATTGAAATGAATACATCTATGATTAGTCTATCTTATTTTAAAATATGATATCCGGAAATCGAGTCCAATGCTGAGAATGTCGATCGTCAGGAATATTTCAAAATGAAAAACTATCAAAAATCAATGATTGGTTCATGAGCTTCATTTTATGAAAAAATTGCTGCGATAATATTAGAAATGAGGTTAAACAAAGTAATTATTGAGCCAAAAGTGGATCCGAAAATTAATCGTGCTGTATTTTATAAGGGCGACAGAGATCTTTAATTCGATCAAGCTAAAGCTTTTGACAATTCATTTTCTGCATGTGATTTATCGATTGTTGATGGGTATAGCTCTTCTTATCGCATACACACACCATCATAGTAAATAATTTATATTAGTTTTATTGAAATACATTGAGTGTATCTTCTGAGAAATGAAGTATAGTATTTTGTCGTTATAAACGCATAACAATTGTGAAATAATGATATGATCCGATTTTATTTGGTTATTTTAGTAAAGCTAATTTTAGTATTTGTTTCTTAAAAGATGTATTCTTTTCATTCGATGATCATTACGACAGTTCGATGAAGGTGAACTTGAATGGTCAGTAAGAGTATGACTAAGTAATGCTGTGGTTATTATTCTAATTTTTTATATATTGAGAATATGATGTCATATTTACATTTAAATGTAAAAATTTAGAAAAAAAACTAAATAGTATGGCATCAATCTTCTTCACATGTTCCTTGACTTGCTAAATCAACTACTAACTTAATATCATTGACCATTCATTTCAGTATTATGATATTTCTCAATGTTTAACCAATTATTTATATGTTTGATCAGATAAATATTTTTGAAACTCATCTGTTTTATCATTTAATTGTGAAGATCATTTTTTGTAAAAACAAATTATTGATCAATATTACTCATTATTAACTAATCTGGATTATATCAAATATTCCTTTAATACTTCTTTCATAAAATGCTGTTGGTGTATTAAAAATAGACATCTGAAAAATTCGAATCAAACTTTAACAATTTTTTTTATTATCATTCAATAACTCGTCTATATTTCAATTTCGATAATAAATCTTGAATGGATTCAATAGAAACGACAAATTGATCGTGCGAGAATACATACCAAAGGGACATGATTTATTCATAAACTTGTTCACTATCCGAAATTTCTATCTGTATAAACAGAAATCAATTATTAAATTTCCCTCTCAAGAAAATGATTACCATTATTTATTTGATTCTTCTGATGCATAGACTTTTTCAAGTATATATTCGTCGAATATACTCATGTAAAAATACAGTTTTCGAACCAGAAAGTTATTTTAACTGTCATTGAAAAAAGAAGAACTACAATTCAATTGACTAGCCAAAATGATCACATACTTTTACGACTATCTTTATCTTTTCCACATAAAATACTAAAAACTATTCAATCTTTTTTGCTCTCAAAATATACCTCCTCAATCTGTTTAGCAGTTTTGTTACTGCTTGAATAAACTTTCTCGAAAGGGTATGGTTATGTGGAGTGTGGGTGCGGCTTGATCATATCTCAGGTAGCCCATCCATTCACAATCACAGCCACACCTATGCCCACACTAGTGACCGGCATGACCAACGTTTTTGATCACGGTCACGGTGAGCCCAGCCCATGACCGTGAGTCACGGTCCTTCTTTCTGGTTTGTCAGCATGAAAAAAAACTTTTCAGAAAGACTTATTGCAAAGTTTCTCTAGAGAAAATCCTTGATGTTTCCGTACCAGATTCTTTATGGATTCAGTCAGGATCCTTCCAGGAGTCGCTCCTTTTTTCCTGAAGAAACGACGAAATCCTGAAAGAAGTGTGTAGCCACGGAATTTCAAGATCCTAACAGGATTTGAAAAAAGATTACATCAGGATCCTGAACAGGTTACTATTGTTGTTGAACTTGGAATAATTTAGAAAACAAGATGTGTTTGTGGGTGTGAACAGAGGTTCTACTTGTATTAATTGACAAAAGCAGTCTCTGATATACTCTCTTATTGGCTTTTTGTTGAGATGCTCCTCAGTTTTAGCTGCAAAAGTTGACTGGGTCCTTGTATCAAGATCCATATCAAATCTTGTCTAAAATTTGATAAAATCTTAAGAGAATCCTCTCTATTATTCCTGTTAGGATTCTAAGTAGGATCATGAACGAATCCTTGAAGGATTCTCTTTTCATTATCTACAAGCACATCTGGCCAGGAACGGGAAGAAATCCTAAACAGGATCCTGTATAACTGTGAGAAATCCTGGCAGCAGGAATTATCAGGAATTGAGCCGGAATCCTGAGAAAAACTTGACAAGTTCTTGAAGATTCAGGATCCTGACAGATCCTTGCAAAATTTCTCAAGGAATAAACAGGATTGAGACTAGAGTTCTGTTTACTATTAAAAGTGATGATCGGT